ATAAATATATATATACCGCGATCACATCCAGCTTTTCAACATCGCCACCGTAGAGTAGTGTGCGTGCCCTTGACTGATCTTCATCGCTCAGCTTAGCGAGTATCTCATCTAATCCCAATGGTTCGCTCATAATGACGTCGGATATGTTTATATCTGTGATGCCTGCTATCGTTCTGGTGGCGTTGTAAATATAATCGTGTGGTGTATTCTATATTTACATATACATAAAAACTGGCAGAAACACCTATTTTTATTTTATGAAATAGGCTTAGCCCTCTAAAAAAAAGTAGACTGCTGCCAAAAAAGCAAATGACGTCAGAATATATAGTATGTTTTCTGTTTCTTTCATTTATTTCAATAAAACCTAATCGAACAACATCAGCATTTATTCAAGGCTTTTTTAGAGAGGGCTTTTGTCTTTACTCTTTTCCAGTTGTCTGATATTTTCGAGGGCTTCTAAAATCAGACCATTTGGTCAAGCGGCAAGCACCATAGGCTATGATAAGACTCTTGGTGTTAAAAACCAAAAAAAGAAGAAAAAGAGGATGACGTATGTAAATAGTATTGTTTTTCATAGCCTCCTAAATATGTACATAATTAGTACTTTTTTTATTATAAAATATGGATTTGTTTATTTGTTTTTTAAAAGAAAAATGATATATTGTTGGGGCATAAGGCCCACACTCCACAGACCCACGGGCCCACACGGCCACAATCCACAGTGCATCCTGCGCAGTGCGTGTGTCAATTTAGAAATAAATACACACAACTTCATACACAAACAACACAAGAAAAAGAGAGAGGGGAGAGAGAGAGGGGTATATTTACTATAATCATAAAAATACAAAAATAGCTATTGTTTATGAATAAATTGTAGAAAATACTACCCTTTCGAAGTTCTTTGAGGGCTGATACTATAATTGCGTCATTCTGCTGTCGCCTCCTGCCGAAACTATGCTTTTTTTATATTTATATTTGTTTTATAAAATAAAATAATAGGTGCTGTTTTTGAATACAAAACAAAAAAATACCCATAGAACTCTCTCTCTCTCGCTCTTGGATATAAATCTAAAAAAGCTGACGCTTGTGGTCTGGCTTCTCTCCTTGGGTACGACATTTGACTCTGGTCACTGGTGGGTGTAAATAAATACCATCAATGGTCGGTTTTAAATACATAGCTGCTGCGAAGAAATCACAGTGTTAATATATGACCAAAGTGCTGATCAATGTCACACGATTCTGTTGTCTCAAGTCTCAACTGGGGTGTGACATCATTTACTGGCTGCGATAGTCCTGTCATATTAGTCATATGAGTAGACTTCAGTACTATGACACCGGTAGTGTCAGAGTTGTGTAAATTATGACTGTTTCTTTATGTTATAATGTGCATTACATTTAGTTGGTGTCAGTGTCGTCTCAATCTAGTCAGCCTGTCGACAGGCGACACGATTCTGTCAAGTATACTTTTACTGTCGATTCGATTTGACGCACAGAAACAGAACCTATGTTCTACTGCAATGCTGCTGTATTCATGCCTAGGCCCACCCTCGACTATTTCAACTGAGACATTATATCTAGGGTTGTTTGTACTTTAATTACACATACACTTTGACTAGGGCTGGTAGGGTTTGAGCTAGCTTGCCCACCATCCACCTTATTTGCTCGCGGATTCTCTCTCGCGGACCAGAGTGGGCTGCATGTGAACCACGACAGCAACTTGGCTATATCCAACAGATACTGAAAGCTGAATTATATACCTACGCATTGCGTATAACATTTGGTCTGTCAGACACTCCTTAGAAGCTCAAGAGATCAGCCTCAGAGACTCCTCGGTACACGCCTGCGTAACCCCGACCAAACAGAATCTACCTACATCACCTTAGAATCGACCTACATGCTTGACACATTCTTCTCTGAACATGAGCAAAAAGTTCTCCATCTTGTTATCTTCGTCCTGGCGGGACATCTCCGCCAGCATAAGTAACGGCTTCACTCCAATGGACACTTGAATGGGTGACTCCTTCAGTGACCGGCGCACTATATCGGTAGTCTCCTCATCGAACAGACCCAGGCCGTCCAGACCCTGTGTGTATGTAGATGATATGCATGAGGGTCAATATGCTGCAAATAAGCCAGTGTGTCTCCATATCACCCAGGTAGTGTGCATTTGTGAGGCTGTATAGGCCGTATGAATGTGTGTCACTGGGTAGCAGACTGGCTAGACCATGGTGGTTGTAAGACAGCGGTAGCTGGTAAAGAGAGTAGTAAAGGTGCAATATACATTCAGTGTACAATCGTATGCAATTATAATAAGTAAATATATGTAAGCAAATGCATAGTGCTAGTCAGTAAACAGCATGACTCACTGGCGTATCCAATGAAATATTGCTCATATACCCAGCTAAGCTCAACAAACCCCCAAAATGTCGAATAACATAATCTGATAATACAATTGTGAGCGCAATGAAAATCAATCCAAAGCCAACTATTCCGTATGACACATCATTGATAAGCAGCAGGATGACGATTCAATGACCACAAAACATGTCACTTCTGACATACATACATACATACATATAT